ATGCCTGACCAGCTTTCCAACTCACTGGGGCAAATCCAGCAACATCTTTCTTGTTTTAGGTCATTTCTGGTGGGTGAATAAAGCTTTGTACATGATATATGAAATGTAACACACAATTCACAATCAATGACCTTCAAGTTTTGTCCAAAAAAATCTTCCACATACACCATAGATCTTATTTCTGGCTGTCCTCACTTTACTCAGTCTTTTCTTTACAGTGTTGCTGCTGTTGGTGGGGTCTGGCCCCTGGTAGGGGTAGAGTGATAGTGGGTGGAGTGAATGGTGGGGGGGCATGGGTGGTTGTTGGAGTGCCTGTGTTGGGTGCTTTGTATCAGTTGTCTCCAAAGTGGTACAGTAGAATAAATAAAGACCAACAATTCATTCTCATGTAATTTTTAGAAGGAATGATGCTCTGACAAATTATTATTATTACAAATAATAATAATAATTTGTAATAATAATAATAAGTTATTATTATTATAATCATAATAAAAAAGAAATGCTAAACCCACAAGGGTTATGAATAGCTATAGAGTGAAGGCAAACAAAAGGAATAAATTTCTAGTTAAGTTACTGGTGTTTGACTAGAGAAAACGTAATTCTTCTGACCCTCCCACCAACCTCTTGGTAAACAAATCTCAAATGTCAATTTTTATACTGTGGGTGTATCATGTATGTATGTTACCTGGAGTTTACCTGGAGAGAGTTCCGGGGGTCAACGCCCCCGCGGCCCGGTCTGTGACCAGGCCTCCTGTGGATCAGAGCCTGATCAACCAGGCTGTTACTGCTGGCTGCACGCAATCCAACGTACGAGCCACAGCCCGGCTGGTCAGGTACCGACTTTAGGTGCTTGTCCAGTGCCAGCTTGAAGACTGCCAGGGGTCCATTGGTAATCCCCCTTATGTATGCTGGGAGGCAGTTGAACAGTCTCGGGCCCCTGACACTTATTGTATGGTCTCTTAACGTGCTAGTGACACCCCTGCTTTTCATTGGGGGAATGTTGCATCGTCTGCCAAGTCTTTTGCTTTCGTTGTGAGTGATTTTCATGTGCAAGTTCAGTACTAGTCCCTCTAGGATTTTCCAGGTGTATTCTTCTTCTTTCAACAAACCGGCCGTATCCCACCGAGGCAGGGTGGTCCAAAAAGAAAAACAAAAGTTTCTCTTTTCAAATTTAGTAATTTATACAGGAGAAGGGGTTACTAGCCCTTTGCTCCTGGCATTTTAGTCGCCTCTTACAACACGCATGGCTTACGGAGGAAGAATTCTGTTCCACTTCCCCATGGAGATAAGATGAAATAAACAAGAACAAGAACTAGAAAGAAAATAGCAGAAAACCCAGAGGGGTGTGTATATATATGCTTGTACATGTATGTGTAGTGTGACCTAAGTGTAAGTAGAAGTAGCAAGACGTACCTGAAGTCTTGCATGTTTATGAGACAGAAAGAAGGACACCAGCAATCCTACCATCATGTAAAACAATTACAGGCTTTCGTTTTACACTCACTTGGCAGGACGGTAGTACCTCCCTGGGCGGTTGCTGTCTGCCAACCTACTACCTACATTTCCAGGTGTATATAATCATGTATATAATCATGTATCCCTCCCTGGAGGGAGGGGGTAAAGGAGGTTTTGTGTGCGAGGGGCTTGGACTTCCAGCAGGCATGCGTGAGCATGTTTGATAGGAGTGAATGGAGACAAATGGTTTTTAATACTTGACGTGCTGTTGGAGTGTGACCAAAGTAACATTTATGAAGGGGTTCAGGGAAACCGGCAGGCCGGACTTGAGTCCTGGAGATGGGAAGTACAGTGCCTGCACTCTGAAGGAGGGGTGTTAATGTTGCAGTTTAAAAACTGTAGTGTAAAGCACCCTTCTGGCAAGACAGTGATGGAGTGAATGATGGTGAAAGTTTTTCTTTTTCAGGCCACCCTGCCTTGGTGGGAATCGGCCAGTGTGATAATAAAAAAAAATACTCTCTCCCGCCTGCGTTCCAGGGAATACAGGTTCAGGAACTTTAAGCGCTCCCAGTAATTGAGGTGCTTTATCTCCGTTATGCGCGCTGTGAAGGTTCTCTGTACATTTTCTAGGTCAGCAATTTCACCTGCCTTGAAAGGTGCTGTTAGTGTGCAGCAATATTCCAGCCTAGATAGAACAAGCGACCTGAAGCGTGTCATCATGGGCTTGGCATCCCTAGTTTTGAAGGTTCTCATTATCCATCCTGTCATTTTTCTAGTAGCTGCAATTGATATAATGTTATGGTCCTTGAAGGTGAGATCCTCCGACATGATCACTCCCAGGTCTTTGACGTTTGTTTTTCGCTCTATGTAGCATGTTTATTATATAATTTTGAAAAAATATCATAGATGGATTAATGGAAATGTCTATATTAACATAATATATGACATTTAACGCGCCCAAGAGATTATTACATAGCAGTGAGTAGAAAGACTTAGTGATTTTAATGTGTACCTTCACGCCAGCACAGTGTGTAAGTATATTTAGGTACAGGTACACATACGTATAATTATCAGAGTATATATAAAATATGCAATAACTTTAACCCTTTGACTGTTTTCGACGTATAAATACGTCTTACGAGCCAATGTTTCTGACGTATATATACTCAATAATTCTAGCAGCTTCAAATCAAGTGGGAGAAAGCTGGTAGGCCCACATGTGAGAGAATGGGTCTGTGTGGTCAGTGTGCACCACATAAAAAAAATCCTGCAGCACACATTGCGTAATGAGAAAAAAAAAACTGATCGTTTTTTTGGAATAAAACGCCGACTTTGAGGTGTATTTTCGTATAGTATTTATCGTTGTATTCGCGTTTTCATGGTCTTAGGTGATAAAATGGAAAACATATTACAGAAATAGAGATGATTTTCATTACTTTTACGATGAGAACGACCTTGAAACTGAGCTCAAAGTAGCGGAAATGTTCGATTTTTACCAATGTTCAAGATTACATAAATCACACCACACGTCCAATACACGTCAACTGGGGAGTCTAATATTCTTTCACTAGTGCACTGATATTATTTATACCATTTTTACAATAATGCAGTCGTCTGCATAACAGTAAATTTTTTATTTTTTTGTATGAATAAAAAATCAAAATAGAAAGCAATAATAATATAAGAGGGGCCTAGAGATGTGACTAATGAACAGAGCATATGTTATTTTAGTGCCACGAATGTCTACCTTGTTTATTCTGGACCCTATTTTGAAATTGGCATCTTTTTTATTTTGCGTGAAATTGGCCAAATTGCCAATTTCTGACCACCATATTGGGTAGTCCAAATTAGTAAAAGGGAGGTTTCTTGTACTCAGCTGATAGATAAAATGGAGTTCTAAGGAAATAGCTATGAGTTTGGTCAACTGGAACAATGGAATTGGCTGAAAATTGGGCTCAAAGTCGGCGAAATCGCCGATACGCATATGTCGCCGAGACCGCTAACTTCGCGGGAGCATAATTCCACGAGTTTTCGACCAAATTTCGAACTTTTGGTGTCATTACCATCGGGAAAAGATTCTCTATCATTTCATAAGAAAAAATAATTTTTTTTTTTTCAAAAATTGAGCGACATAGAATGACAGTTTCAGAGAGGGGCCTGAAACAGTCAAAGGGTTAAAACACTTAAAATTTTGGAAAATTTCCAGACATAATAGAGATATGTGCACATGGAGAATGTAAACAAACCGGGTGGGGCACACCATATTTGAAAGACTGCTCGCAGTATAGCAAATTTTGGTCATAATTTGAAATTGCCATATTAGCAGAACGCCGTAAGGTGAAACACCATAAAGCGGAGCCCTACTGTACATAACACCCATATATTACACCATCTATTATACAATATCACTGGGGATTGATAACAAGATTGTTATAATCCACAGTTTAAGATCACTATGTCACTGCACAACAATATCCTTATCACTCGCTATATAACAATAGTACAACAGTTATTGGCCATCCAAGTCTAAGTGCTTTTGTAAGTGTATTTTTGGGGGTTTGAAATGGATTAATCTAATTTACGTTATTACTTATGGGAACAAATTTGTTCAGCATCGGCACTTGAACAGCCTTCTGGAATGATATAAGTTCATATCCCGAGGTACCACTGTATTTGGATATCTCTTTCTCCGACGCATTATAATTCATAACCAAACTTTTCCACTGTGTGGGTAAACAACCTGAAAGCTCTGCGTGGAAGCACGTAGGACAAGTTTCTACTGATTTCCCTTCTAACACTTATTAATCCTAAGTTTATCTTATTGTCTTGTGTTTTGGAACATGAGTAGTATTTTTATAAAGTTCTTGAAACTGTGTGCAAAGTCCTGATCTTACTGACTTCCTCTCATTGATCTACGTTCACTTTTAGTCACAACCAATTTGTTGTAGTAGTACCATAATCAGTAACTCGCTACTGGAATGTTGGTTGAGGCATGCCTCTCTGTACTTGACACTATAATCTATATTTTCTCTTCAGTGCTAACTGATATTTCCTTTACGTGGGTTTTGAAATACACTTTAGGGGTTTAACACGCATATTTTCCATGGTCTGTCCCCTCTGGGGCCGTCAGATAAAAGTAAATCTGACGGATCTCAAACACACGTGACTGCAGCACATTCAAGCTCACTTGCGTGTCATGATTTGTGATGATCTGTGATGACTTATTTTGACCTGTGATGATTTATGTTGACCTGTGATGACTTATGTTGACCTTCAGTTGTGTTACCAGTCAGAGCTTGACCAGAAGCCAGTACTGTTACACAAGTACCAACAACAACCAATGGTCTGAGGGACCAGTAACAACCAGTGGTCTGAGAGACCAGTAACAACAACCAGTGGTCTGAGGGACCAACAACAACAACCAGTAGGCTGAGGGACCAACAACAACAACCAGTGGTCTGAGGGACCAACAACAATAACAACCAATGGTCTGAGGGACCAACAACAATCAATGGTCTGAGGGACCAATAACAAGTAAGACTCACCTCAAAGTGGACTATAATGCCCCAGTGGTCTGAAGGGAAGCTCTGTGTGCCTGGGGCTTTCTCCAGACCCAGGAGACCAAAGTGTTGAGGCTTGACCAGCGGGGATTCAGCTGATCTCAGAAAGACTCGGTCGAACCTACACTTCGGTTTAAAACGACCAGGCATCTGTCAATAAAGTTAACAAATATAAACATGACTCTGTAATGAGACTATGGCTTGTTAATATACATATTGATGACCTTATTGATACTTCTAGACCTTAGTGATTCTTCTAACTGATGCTAAGTGACTTATTGATGCTAATAAGTGATCCTTGATGCTTCTAGGTGACCTTATTGATATTTGTAGGTGACCTCACTGATGCTTCTAGGTGACCATATTAATGTTTCTAGATAATTAGGTAAGAGACATTACTAGGTAAAAGACCTACACACACACACACATACACACACACAGCAATCAGTGAAGAGGCGGGGCCAGGAGCTATGAATCGACCCCTGCAACCACAAATAGGTGAGTACAAATAGGTGAGTACACACCACAGACCCACACAAAAAGAGACCACAAACATACACACACACACAAAGACTGCAGAGCTACACAACACACACACACACCACACACACACACACACACACACACACACACAGACCTACACACACACACACAGACCACACACCTACACACAGAGACCACAGACCTACACACAAAGAACACAGACTACACGCACAGACCACAGACCTACACACAGACCACAGGCCTACACACAAAGAACACAGACCTACACACACAGACCATGGACATACACACACACAGACCACAGACCTACACACAGAGACCACACACCTACACACACACAGACCACACACCTACACACACACAGACCACACACCTACACACACACAGACCACACACCTACACACACAGACCACAGAACTACAGACCTACAAACACACACAGACCTACACAGACCACAGACCTACAAACACACACAGACCACAGACATACACAGACCACAGACCCACACACAGAGCACAACTGTGGTCTCACCTCCTTGTTGGTGTTACGTTCAGTATCCCAGGTCCACCTGCACTCTGGTCTGCGACCACAAGCCTCCCACAGGTCAAAGAAATTGCTTGGTGGGTGAACGCTGCTCATCTGTCAACAACACTTAGTTTACACACACATTATACAACAACAGTCTTTAGCAGAGAACTGGTCCAGTACCAGTTTACAGGAAATGTATATAAAAAGTGACTGTATATAGAGGAACTCTATAAGGCAACTGAATGTATGTAGAGAAGCTTTATAAGGTTGACTTATGTAAGTCAGTGTAGCAGCTGTGGTTAGTTTAGTGGAGGAAGCTGTTAGTGTGTCAACCCTTAAACTGTCCAAAGGTAGATCAACGTTTGGACAGTTTAAGGGTTAAAATAGAAATAGTCAATGGTAAGGATGACAGTAGCAACAGTATAAATGATCAAGATTGTGATAATGCTGACTTTGTGGTAAGAATGACAGCAGCAACAGTATAAATGATCAAGACTGTCATACTGCTGACTCACTGGTAAGAATGACAGCAGCAACAGTATAAATGATCAAGACTGTCATACGCTGACTCACTGGTAAGAATGACAGCAGCAACAGCTATAAAGATCAAGACGCTACCTACACATGGTAGATCCACAGCAACGTATACATGATCAAGACGTCATACACTGACTCATGGTAAGAATGACACACAACTATAATGATCAAGACTGCATACTGCTGACTCTGTAAGAATGAACAGCACAACAGATATATCAAGACTTCAAACGACCAGACCTACATATTAACAGATAAAGTAATACACAAACTGAAAAAGCACATGACAAGTGACAGAGCAAATTTTTGAATGTTGTCTCAACATCAACTGTGTGATATACAAGTGTCAGATAACCAGTGTCACGAAATCTGGTCGCTGCGACCACAAGTTCACAACAGTGTCAAAGAAAATGTCTAGACAGTGTCAGCGTAGAAACAGTTCGAAACAATGTCAACAAACAAGTGTCAGAACAAGTGTACAGAAACAGTCAGAAACAAGTGTCAGAACATGTCCAGAACAAGTGTCAGAAACAAGTGTAGAAAACAAGTGTCGAAACATGTCGAAACAAGTGTAAAACAAGTGTCAAAACAAGTGTAGAAACAGTGTCAGAAAGCAAGTGTAGAACAAGTGTAGAAACAAGTGTCAGAAACAAGTGTCAGATATAAGTGTCAGAACAGTGTCAGAATAAAGTGTCAAAACACAGTGTAGAAACAATGTCAAAACAAAGTGTCAGAACAGTGTCAGAAAAAGTGTCAGAAACAAGTGTCAGAACAAGGTCGAAACAAGTGTCAGAAACAAGTGTCAGAAACAGTTAAAACAAGTGTCAGAACAAGTGTCAGAACAAGTGTCAGAAACAAGTGTCAGAAACAAGTGTCAGAAACAGTGTCAGAAACAAGTGTCAGAAACAAGTGTCAGAAACATCAGATGTGTCAGAAACAAGTTCAGAAACAAGTTCAGAAATCAAGACTGTCAGAAACAAGGTCAGAAACAAGTGTCAGAAACAGTGTCAAAGAACAAGTGTCAAAACAATGTCAGAACAAGTGTCAGAAACAAGTGTCAGAAACAAGTGTCAGAACAAGTGTCAGAAACAAGTGTCAAAAAGTGTCAGAAACAAGTGTCAGAAACAAGTGTCAGAAACAAGTGTCAGAAACAAGTGTCAGAAACAAGTGTCAGAAACAAGTGTCAGAAACAAGTGTCAGAAAACAAGTGTCAGAAACAAGTGTCAGAAACAAGTGTCAGAAACAAGTGTCAGAAACAAGTGTCAGAAAACAAAGTGTCGAAACAAGTGTCAGAAACAAGTGTCAGAAACAAGTGTCAGAAACAAGTGTCAGAAACAAGTGTCAGAAACAAGTGTCAGAAACAAGTGTCAGAAACAAGTGTCAGAAACAAGTGTCAGAAACAAGTGTCAGAAACAAGTGTCAGAAACAAGTGTCAGAAACAAGTGTCAGAAACAAGTGTCAGAAACAAGTGTCAGAAACAAGTGTCAGAAACAAGTGTCAGAAAACAAGTGTCAGAAACAAGTGTCAGAAACAAGTGTCAGAAACAAGTGTCAGAAACAAGTGTCAGAAACAAGTGTCAGAAACAAGTGTCAGAAACAAGTGTCAGAAACAAGTGTCAGAAACAAGTGTCAGAAACAAGTGTCAGAAACAAGTGTCAGAAACAAGTGTCAGAAACAAGTGTCAGAAACAAGTGTCAGAAACAAGTGTCAGAACAAGTGTCAGAAACAAGTGTCAGAAACAAGTGTCAGAAACAAGTGTCAGAAACAAGTGTCAGAAACAAGTGTCAGAAACAAGTGTCAGAAACAAGTGTCAGAAACAGTAAGTCAGAAACAAGTGTCAGAAACAAGGAAGTGTCAGAAACAAGGTGAAGGTCAGAAACAAGTGTCAGAAACAAGGGAAGTGTCAGAAACAAGTGTCAGAAACAAGGGAAGTGTCAGAAACAAGTGTCAGAAACAAGGGAAGTGTCAGAAACAAGGGAAGTGTCAGAAACAAGTGTCAGAAACAAGGGAAGTGTCAGAAACAAGTGTCAGAAACAAGTGTCAGAAACAAGTGAAGTGTCAGAATAAAAAGTGTCAGAAACAAGGGGAAGTGTCAGAAACAAGTGTCAGAAACAAGGGAAGTGTCAGAAACAAGTGTCAGAAACAAGGGAAGTGTCAGAAACAAGGGAAGTGTCAGAAACAAGGGAAGTGTCAGAAACAAGGGAAAGTGTCAGAAACAAGGGAAAGTGTCAGAAACAAGGGAAGTGTCCAGAAACAAGGGAAGTGTCAGAAACAAGGGAAGTGTCAGAAACAAGGGAAGTGTCAGAAACAAGGGAAGTGTCAGAAACAAGGGAAGTGTCAGAAACAAGTGTCAGAAATAAGTGAAGTGTCAGAAACAAGTGAAGTGTCAAAAAGGGAAGTGTCAGAAACAAGTGAAGTGTCAGAAACAAGTGTCAGAAACAAGTGAAGTGTCAGAAACAAGTGAATTGTCAGAAACAAGGGAAGTGTCAGAAACAAGGAAAGTGTCAGAAACAAGGGAAGTGTCAGAAACAAGGAAAGTGTCAGAAACAAGGAAGTGTCAGAAAAAGGGAAGTGTCAGAAACAAGGAAGTGTCAAGAAACAAGGGAAGTGTCAGAAACAAGGGAAGTGTCAGAAACAAGGGAAGTGTCAGAAACAAGGGAAGTGTCAGAAACAAGGGAAGTGTCAGAAACAAGGGAAGTGTCAGAAACAAGAAGTGTCAGAAACAAGGGAAGTGTCAGAAAACAAGGTGAAGTGTCAGAAACAAGGGAAGTGTCAGAAACAAGGGAAGTGTCAGAAACAAGGAAGTGTCAGAAACAAGGAAGTGTCAGAAACAAGGAAAGTGTCAGAAACAAGGGAAGTGTCAGAAACAAGGGAAGTGTCAGAAACAAGTGAAGTGTCAGAAACAAGGGAAGTGTCAGAAACAAGGGAAGTGTCAGAAACAAGGGAAGTGTCAGAAACAAGATGAAGGAATTAAGTCCAGCTGCACCTGCAACAAACATTGATGTTATTGTTAGTTCCAGCTGCACCTGCAACAAACATAGTGTTATTGTTAGTTCCAGCTGCACCGCAACAAACATGATGATATTGTTAGTTCCAGCTGCACTGCAACAACATTGATGTTATTGTTAGTTCCAGCTGCACCTGCAACAAACATGAGTTATTGTTAGTTCCAGCTGCACCTGCAACAAACATTGATGTTATTGTTAGTTCCAGCTGCACCTGCAACAAACATTGATGATATTGTTAGTTCCAGCTGCACCTGCAACAAACATTGATGTTATTGTTAGTTCCAGCTGCACCTGCAACATTGATGTTATTGTTAGTTCCAGCTGCACCTGCAACAAACATTGATGTTATTGTTAGTTCCAGCTGCACCTGCAACAAACATTGATGATATTGTTAGGTAAGACACATATGCAACAGTTAGGTATCTTTATTTCGAAATGTTTCGCCTACACAGCAGGCTTCTTCAGTCGAGTAAAAAAAGTTGACAAAAGAGATGTGAAGACGATGTAATCAGTCCATCACCCTTGAAGTTTTGAGGTGGTCAGTCCCTCAGTCTGGAGAAGAGTATTGTTCCATAGCCTGAAACAATATGGAGTTGAAGTGACAGGATGGAGCCTATATACCGCCATGAGGTGAGATGTAGGCCACTAGTAGAGGTAGGAATGTTGTCGTTGGAAGGTCAGATCCCTCTCAAATCCAGCCATTCTCACTAGTAGAAGTTGTCCAAATTGTTTTGTGTTCTGTGCCAAGATACCCTTGTGTTGCAGTGTCTGACAGAGTGGATATTAAGATGGTATAAAATACCATCTTAATATTCACGTGATGACTGATTACATCGTCTTCACGTCTCTTCTATCAACTTTTCTGTACTCGACTGAAGAAGCCTACCGTGTAGGCGAAACGTTTCGAAATAAAGATACCTAACTGTTGCATATGTGCCTTACCTAACAACCTGTTGGTATTTTATATCATTTTAATATCCATTGATGATACTGTTAGCTCTAGCTGCACTTGCAACAAACATTGATGATACTGTTAGTTCCAGCTGCACCTGCAACAAACATTGAGTACTGTTAGTTCCACTGCACTGCACAAACATTGATAATTGTTAGGTCCATCTGCACCTGCAACAAACATTGATGATATTGTTAGTTCCAGCTGCACCTGCAACAAACATTGATGATATTGTTAGTTCCAGCTGCACCTGCAACAAACATTGATGATACTGTTAGTTCCAGCTGCACCTGCAACAAACATTGATGATACTGTTAGTTCCAGCTGCACCTGCAACAAACATTGATGATACTGTTAGTTCCAGCTGCACCTGCAACAAACATTGATGATATTGTTAGGTCCATCTGCACCTGCAACAAACATTGATGTTATTGTTAGTTCCAGCTGCACCTGCAACAAACATTGATGATATTGTTAGGTCCATCTGCACCTGCAACAAACATTGATGATATTGTTAGTTCCAGCTGCACCTGCAACAAACATTGATGATATTGTTAGGTCCATCTGCACCTGCAACAAACATTGATGATACTGTTAGGTCCAGCTGCACCTGCA